TGTGATTAGCCATGGTTTATTTCATCACCAGGGATGTCGCGATAGTGACTGACCTGTGGTGTTTGGCTCAAGTTTGCGGGTCTGTCGCGCCTCGGATGAGCGTCGCCGGGTCCCCGCGTCGATCACCTTCGTGTCGGTGGAGAAAGAGACATCGGCCCGGGGCAGATTGGTGGGGTCCGCCCGTGCGGTTCATCGTCGATCAAGGTTGCGGGTACTTGTTTACTTGTTTTGGTTTTTATTTCCCTTTTGGTTGTTGTTCTCTGGTGTGTGGGAAACCCTGATCTTTGGGACCGGGGATTGGTTTGCTTTTGGGGAACCTTTCTTTGTGGCTTGTTTACCCCAACTAACCCATTGCCTGGGCACAGGTTCGTGCCCGAATCACAGTTTAGTCTCCTTTGTTGTTTTCCAGGTTCCGGCATCTTTCGAATTTCAGCATTTTTAAACGTTGTTTAGCTTCCTTCCGTCTGCTTTAGCGTCGTTCGGCTTCTTTCAGCTTCCGGCTTCTTGCAGTTCTCAGCGTCTCTCAACGTTGTTTAGTTTCTTTCCGTATCCTTCGGCTTCTTTCATCTTTCAGCCTTCGGCTTCTTGCAGCTTCCGGCTTCTTTCAGCTTTCAGCGCATTTAACATAGTTTACTCTCTTCAGTTTCCATCCGCTTCGTACTCCTTGTTTCAGCTTCCCCCCTTTTTAAACGTTTAGTGTGTCAGCGTGTACCAGTGTTGTCAGCGTTTCCAGTTTTGCCTTAGCATCTTTCATTGTTGTGTTGGTTTTCAACTTTATTTTTAGCGTCCTTCGACTTCTTTAAGACTCCGGCTGCATTCAGCTCTCAGCATCTTTCAACATGTTTTGCCCTGTCGTTTGTTCTCTTCCAGCGTCTCTCAACTTCTTTTAGCTTCCACCTTCTTTCAGCTTTCAGCATCTTTCAACGTTGTTTAGGTTTGCTTGGCTTTCTTCAGCATCTTTCGGCTTCTTTTAGCTTCCACCTTCTTTCAGCTTTCAGCATCCTTCAACGTTGTTTAGGTTTGCTTGGCTTTCTTCAGCATCTTTCGGCTTCTTTTAGCTTCCACCTTCTTTCAGCTTTCAGCAACGTCTGCTTCAAGCTTCCACCTTCTTTCAGCTTTCAGCATTTTTGTTTGCTTGGCTTTCTTCAGCATCTTTCGGCTTCTTTTAGCTTCCACCTTCTTTCAGCTTTCAGCATCTTTCAACGTTGTTTAGGTTTGCTTGGCTTTCTTCAGCATCTTTCGGCTTCTTTTAGCTTCCACCTTCTTTCAGCTTTCAGCATCTTTCAACGTTGTTTAGGTTTGCCTGGCTTTCTTCAGCATCTTTCAGCTTCTTTTACCTTCCACCTTCTTTCAGCTTTCAGCATCTTTCAACGTTGTTTAGGTTTGCTTGGCCTTCTTCAGCATCTTTCGGCTTCTTTGAGCTTCCACCTTCTTTCAGCTTTCAGCATCTTTCAACGTTGTTTGGGTTTGCTTGGCCTTCTTCAGCATCTTTCGGCTTCTTTTAGCTTCCACCTTCTTTCAGCTTTCAGCATCTTTCAACGTTGTTTGGGTTTGCTTGGCTTTCTTCAGCAGCTTTCGGCTTCTTTTAGCTTCCACCTTCTTTCAGCTTTCAGCATCTTTCAACGTTGTTTAGGTTTGCTTGGCTTTCTTCAGCATCTTTTTCGGTTTCTTTTAGCTTCCGACATTTTTCAGTTTCAGCATCTTGTTCAAGTTGGTTTGGGTTTGCTTGGCTTTCTTCAGCAGATTTCGGCTTCTTTTACGCTATTGCTTTTTCTTCTTATTTTTTCTTTTTTTTTTTTTTTTTTTCTTTTTTATTTATTTTTTCTTTTTTTTTCTTTTTTTTTTTATGTTTTTTTTTTTTTTCACTTCTTTCAGTTTTCCCATCTTTCAACGTGTTTAGGTTTGCTTGGCTTTCTTCAGCATCTTTCGGCTTCTTTTAGCTTCCACCTTCTTTCAGCTTTCAGCATCTTTCAACGTTGTTTAGGTTTGCTTGGCTTTCTTCAGCATCTTTCGGCCTTCTTTTAGCTTCCACCTTCTTTCAGCTTTCAGCATCCTTCAACGTTGTTTAGGTTTGCTTGGCTTTATTCAGTAGCTTTTGGCTTCTTTTAGCTTCCACCTTCTTTCAGCTTTCAGCATCTTTCAACGTTGTTTAGGTTTGCCTGGCTTTCTTCAGCATCTTTCAGCTTCTTTTACCTTCCACCTTCTTTCAGCTTTCAGCATCTTTCAACGTTGTTTAGGTTTGCTTGGCCTTCTTCAGCATCTTTCGGCTTCTTTGAGCTTCCACCTTCTTTCAGCTTTCAGCATCTTTCAACGTTGTTTGGGTTTGCTTGGCCTTCTTCAGCATCTTTCGGCTTCTTTTAGCTTCCACCTTCTTTCAGCTTTCAGCATCTTTCAACGTTGTTTGGGTTTGCTTGGCTTTCTTCAGCAGCTTTCGGCTTCTTTTAGCTTCCACCTTCTTTCAGCTTTCAGCATCTTTCAACGTTGTTTAGGTTTGCTTGGCTTTCTTCAGCATCTTTCGGCTTCTTTTAGCTTCCACCTTCTTTCAGCTTTCAGCATCTTTCAACGTTGTTTAGGTTTGCTTGCCTTTCTTCAGCATCTTTCGGCCTTCTTTTAGCTTCCACCTTCTTTCAGCTTTCAGCATGTTTCAACGTTGTTTAGGTTTGCTTGGCTTTATTCAGTAGCTTTTGGCTTCTTTTAGCTTCCACCTTCTTGCAGCTTTCAGCATCTTTCAACGTTGTTTAATTTTCCTTTCCTTTGATCAGCATCTTTCGGCTTCTTTTAGCTTCCACCTTCTTTCAGCTTTCAGCATCTTTCAACGTTGCTTAGGTTTGCTTAACTTTCTTCAACATCTTGTGGCTTCTTTTACCTTCCACCTTCTTTCAGCTTTCAGCATCTTTCTTTTAGCTTCCACCTTCTTTCAGCTTTCAGCATCTTTCAACGTTGTTTAGGTTTGCTTGGCTTTCTTCAGCATCTTTCGGCTTCTTTTAGCTTCCACCTTCTTTCAGCTTTCAGCATCTTTCAACGTTGGGTTTGTCTTGGCTTTATTCAGTAGCTTTCGGCTTCTTTTAGCTTCCACCTTCTTTCAGCTTTCAGCATCTTTCAACGTTGTTTAGGTTTGCTTGGCTTTCTTCAGCATCTTTCGGCGTCTTTTAGCTTCCACCTTCTTTCAGCTTTCACCATCTTTCAACCTTGTTTAGGTTTGCTTGGCTTTCTTCCGCATCTTTCAACGTTGTTTAGGTTTGCTTGGCTTTCTTCAGCATCTTTCGGCCTTGTTTTAGCTTCCACCTTCTTTCAGCTTTCAGCATGTTTTTTTTTCCTTTTGTTTTTCAACGTTGTTTAGGTTTGCTTGGCTTCTTCAGCAATCTTTTCGGCATCTTTTAGCATTCCCCTTCTTTTGCTTTCAGCATCATTGCTTGGCTTTATTCAGTAGCTTTCGGCTTCTTTTAGCTTCCACCTTCTTTCAGCTTTCAGCATCTGTCAACGTTGTTTTTGTTTTTGGTTTGCTCGGCTTTCTTCAGCATCTTTCGGCTTCTTTTAGCTTCCACCTTCTTTCAGCTTTCAGCATCTTTCAACGTTGTTTAGGTTTGCTTGGCTTTCTTCAGCATCTTTCGGCTTCTTTTAGCTTCCACCTTCTTTCAGCTTTCAGCATCTTTCAACGTTGTTTAGGTTTGCTTGGCTTTCTTCAGCATCTTTCGGCTTCTTTTAGCTTCCACCTTCTTTCAGCTTTCAGCATCTTTCAACGTTGTTTAGGTTTGCTTGGCTTTCTTCAGCATCTTTCGGCTTCTTTTAGCTTCCACCTTCTTTCAGCTTTCAGCATCTTTCAACGTTGTTTAGGTTTGCTTGGCTTTCTTCAGCATCTTTCGGCTTCTTTTAGCTTCCACCTTCTTTCAGCTTTCAGCATCTGTCAACGTTGTTTTTGTTTGCTTGGCTTTCTTCAGCATCTTTCGGCTTCTTTTAGCTTCCACCTTCTTTCAGCTTTCAGCATGTTTCAACGTTGTTTAGGTTTGCTTGGCTTTATTCAGTAGCTTTCGGCTTCTTTTAGCTTCCACCTTCTTTCAGCTTTCAGCATCTTTCAACGTTGTTTAGGTTTGCTTGGCTTTCTTCAGCATCTTTCGGCTTCTTTTAGCTTCCACCTTCTTTCAGCTTTCAGCATCTTTCAACGTTGTTTAGGTTTGCTTGGCTTTCTTCAGCATCTTTCGGCTTCTTTTAGCTTCCACCTTCTTTCAGCTTTCAGCATCTTTCAACGTTGTTTAGGTTTGCTTGGCTTTCTTCAGCATCTTTCGGCTTCTTTTAGCTTCCACCTTCTTTCAGCTTTCAGCATCTTTCAACGTTGTTTAGGTTTGCTTGGCCTTCTTCAGCATCTTTCGGCTTCTTTTAGCTTTCTTTCACTTTAGTTGAGCTTCTTTCAGCTGTTTTTAGCTTCTTGAGCTTTCAGGGACTTTTTCAGCTACGTACTTTCAACTTCGTTCAGATTCTGCATTTGTTTGGTTTTAGCTGCTTTATTCTTCTTCTTTCAGGCTGCCTCTTTCAGCTTCTTCTTCTTCAATGGTCTTGCGGCGGTTCGCAGTGTAGTCAATTTTGTTCAGCACCTTTTTCAGTTTCATTCAGCTTCTTGAAGCTTCTATCAGCTGTGCTTTCAGCTGCTTTTAGCTTTTGTCTCTCTTGCATACTTTTTGAGCCTTTTTCACCTTATTTGATGTTTTCCTTCAGCGTGTTTCAGCATCTTTCATTTCCTATCACAGCTGCTTTCAGCTTCTTTCAGTTTCTTTCAGCTTCTTTTGGTGTTCAGCACTTCTTAGCTTTGTCAGCTGCTTTCCAACGTCTATGACCTTATGTGCCTATCAGCTTCCTGTAGCCCTTGTTTGGCTTTTCGGCTTCTTTCAGCTGCTAGCCTGGTTTAGCTTCTTTCAGCTGTTCAAGTGCTTTTGTTTTGTTCAGCTTGTTTAGGTTCTTTCAGCCTCTTTTTGGCTTCTCGTTTGGCCTGCCCAAATGTTTCCGAGGTTCCCTCCTATTGCCCCAGCAGAGCCCGTGGTTCCGCCCGTGGATCCCATGGCTCCGCCAGCGGAACCGGATGACATGGATTTGGAGGTGTCTTGACCGGGCGTGCTCAGTGACGGACTGCGCTTTCCAGGCCCATCCGGATGAGAGAGGTGAGATTGAGGACATGGACAGATTGGAGAATGAGGCCATGGAGAAACTTTGGAAGGCAAGCCATAGGACTTGGAGAAACTTTGGGGTACTTGGAACGAACAAACTTCAGGGCTTTCTCGCAAATGACGAGCCGGGCGAGGGGGTCCAGGCCAGGCAACAGAACTGGCGTGGAGTTCTCTGAAGTACACGGAGTTCATGTCAGGCAGAGTCCGAAGCTGACGGCAAGGACGATATCCCAACAGAAAATCTGCACAGACCGAAGGGCAACGCACCAGGCAAGAACCAATACGGCGGGTCACACGTCTCTTGTGGCAGTTTGAGACATGCGCACACAACTTGTGCAACTTTTAATTTGTTGAGAGGTTGCCCATTCATGTTCTTGCGTCAAGAGCAGCGCTACCATATGCTGAAGATGCTGGATGTGCTGTAGCTAAATTGCGCCTTTGTCGAACGTACGGTTGCTGGCGACGCCTTTCAGGACTTTCCGCCTGAGCCTGATGTGCCGGAGGAGTGGGAGGACGGATTGCTTTTTTGCGCTTTGTTTGGCAAACTCCAGCTCATCAGATGGACGTTTGAGCGCAACATTGGCAGTGATTGTTGTGGAATTTGGCTATGAGACGCAAGGCACGGGAGCGTATTTGCTGAAAGTCAACTGGTTCACAGGAGCATCTCCAGCATGGTGAAGGATTCGAGGAGGATTGTTCGAGAACTGCTATGCCTTGTCAGAAGCAGCATGCCCTACACAGGAGGCGCAGGAGGAGCCGGATGGCGAGTGGCGTGAGGCCTTGTCTCTAAGTGCCTTTGCCTTTTCGGATTCTTCTGCCACCTTGCGGATAGCGCCCCCGCTTGATAGCTTTGAGATTATGCCGCATGTCCAAGGCTCATTTTCGGCCGAGCCATCCTGCCACCGTTGGCCTGCTTTTGATATGCGGAGCCTGGCAATTCAGGAGGCCCCCACAGGACACCACGGCCTCTCTAGGTGATGCCGATCAGCTCAACGATGTGGAGAGGCCTGTGCGCTTGAGAAATTCCACCGGCTTTAGGGCCGCTACCATCCTCGTCTGCAGACCTGACTGGGCGTCGCAGAGCGGGAGTCCTTGTCTCTCCTTTGTATGAACCTCCACGCGTAGCAGATGACGATCGTCTTCTCATCCACTCTCTCTAGGCTAATGGCACAAATGCCTGGATCCTACATGTTCTTGGAACCCGCCCACAAAACATCGCCATTTGCACGCATGATGTAGGCTCCAAACTGTACTGCCAGCGGCCTCCCCATTTTTCCTTGAGCACAAACTCTTGTCCCGCTCAGTGCTTTCTACTGTCGCTCTTCTTCTTGAGAATCACCTCGTCACATCAGCGCTCGAAGCTCACGGAGTGCGTCAGGCTGAAACCCAAGCCCGCGAAGCGCCCGTTCGATGGATCGGCGACCTCGTGTGGACGTTCACGGAGAAGATCCCCATTCGGAGAGAAGAAAACACATGCGAGAGCTTTACCGGGTGCCCGAAAGACAAGGGGCCGAGCGAGAGAGACAGGAGAGGAAAAAGAGAGTGCGAGAGAGCTACAGAGAGCGACAGAGAGCTACACAGAGAGGCAGAGAGACAGAGAGAGCGAGAGAGAGAGAGAGAGGGGAAGAGAGCAAGATGGGGAGAAGGGGAGAAAAGGAGAGAGAAGGGAAACGAGGAGAGAAGAGAAGCGAAGAGAGGAGAGCGAGCGAGTGAGAAAGCGAGCCAGTGAGTGACATGAGGGTGAGTGTGAGGGTGAGTTCGCGAGCGAGCGAGCAGCGAGCCTAAGTTGAGTGAGGTGAGTGGGCGGGTGGAGGGAGTGAGGGGCTGAGAGAGCAAGTAAATACGGGATCAGGGACAGAGTGTTCTTCGAGTGGGCAACTGCCCACATCGGCGCGACATCCTGCAATGCCTCCCCCTATTGGCAACATGTGGACTCCGCAGGTGTACAGGGATTGAAATCGTTAGGGGTGGAGGTTGGCAAGCGCTCGCCCAGATCTGCATGAGACGCGAACCACTTGCGCACTTGCCCGTGCGTTTCGAAGGAGTATCCGCCGGAGGAGTGGGAGGACGGGTTGCGCGCGTGTTGTTTTGCCAGAAGAACCGACCGGCCAAAGGGTCTGAGTTGTCCCACGATGTCCCACGGTCTGCGCAAAAACCACCCTTCCCTACACCCGCCGAGGGTCGCCCTAAACAAAACCTAAATCCACCTTAAACACACCCTAAGCCCACCAAAAACCTTTGCCATGAGCAAATCCCAAGCCCAATAAAACGGCAAATTGGGCCAGACAATGGGAGCACGCGTTGTAACTCACAACCTAAAATCATGAACATTTTGCGACTTGAATGTTGTTTTTTGCATGACAACCGCCGTTTGATTTGGATACGGAAAATCTCAGGCAGCGTATCAGATCATATAAATGATTTCCAGAGAAACTTGCTGCTTTGGAACACAGATCAACTCCAGCTCATCAGATGGACGTTTGAGCGCAACATTGGCAGTGATTGTTGTGGAATTTGGCTATGAGACGCAAGGCACGGGAGCGTATTTGCTGAAAGTCAACTGGTTCACAGGAGCATCTCCAGCATGGTGAAGGATTCGAGGAGGATTGTTCGAGAACTGCTATGCCTTGTCAGAAGCAGCATGCCCTACACAGGAGGCGCAGGAGGAGCCGGATGGCGAGTGGCACGAGGACTTGCTCAGCTAGTTTTTCTTGATGTTCCACGGTTTCGTTCCTCATGGATTGCATGCACAAACATCCCGCGTAAAGGAGGCTCAAGAGGAGGAGTTTGAGGAGGAGCGTTTGTAGCATTGCTGGTAGAATATTTGGATCAAACCAAAGTGGCAGGTGGAGGTGGAGGAAGAGGATGTGGCGTCATCGGGTTCCAAACTTGAATGGCATGCAAATTGGCCCCTCGCCTCACAATCCAAGGCCCGCAGCGGCAAGTGCCCCGCGCGTTCGCCGCTGGTATACCCACATTGCGCTCTGTCCGACCCACCGTGTCTGTCTGAGAGATCTGATAAAGAGTCCGAGGGTGATTTGTCTCTGAATTGCAAAAAGAGAATCACTGTGCTTTGCAATGGCCTGGCTTGTGCGCAGACTGATCCAGAGCGCGACTATGAGGCCCTTCTGCAAGCTTCTGGGGCGGCAACCCATCGACGTTGAAAAGGAGCTTTCAGCAAGCCTTGCGACCAACATCCTGTTGCGCTTTGTCTAGACATCTTGTGATGCCAGACACTTTGCGGTTCTGTCTAGGCGCTTTCAAGAGAAGAGTGTGTGTGTGTGTGTGTCAGGGCAAAGTGGTGATGTCGGGCTCTAGTCACGATATAGAACAAACAACTTGTCGGACTTATCGGCATTGACAAAAACAATGATTGAATGATATTGAATGGCTTGGGGAAGTTGAGCTGTAAAAGTCCAATGGGCGACTGCTATGAATTAAGCTCGGATGCGACTGAGAGAGACGCGATCTTGCCATGGCTCCTTGGTCCGCTTCTGCCTGAGCAAAGTGTGAGTTGGTTCATTGGGGAACGTGTGCCTGAGGCCGTGGGCATCAGTGCACTGGTTGGCATGCGGGGCCCCGGATTTCAATTCTGAGAATTCCCCAACGGAGAGACCCGAGACATCCCGAGACATCCCGAGACATCCCGAGACATCCCGAGACTCCGAGAGGCTGGCGGTAGACGCCATGTTTGACTTCGGGGACGCAGAGGCAGTAGGGCGCTCAGAGGGAGCGGGCACAGCGGGCACAGCGGGCACATTTCGCGGATGCCTTCGAGCTCTTCGAGGCCAAGAGCTACTACTGCACCCTTCTGCGCTGGGCTTGGTCGAGATTGGAGTCGCGAAAGAGTCTACAGACTCAAGGCCCACCCTCTTCACCTTCCCGCAGTGTTTGCGGGTGCTGCACCTCGCAAGAAGTGGAGCTGTACAGAACATTTTGCACTCGTGGCTCGGGCTCAGGGTTCCCGTGCTATTCTCTGGCAACTGCATTCTGCAAAATTGGTCCGCGGCCGAGATCGGTTCTCGTGCTTGTCGTTCCTCTTCACAACCTCAAATGCGCAGGTTCTGCCATCGCTCCCTCTTCCACGTGGGTTCTTGCGTAGCCATGTGCCCACTGTGCAGAACATGAGGGACCAGGGACCAGCGTGCAAGTTGTGCAAGCTGCGTCCGGTGGTGAGCAAGGCTTTGATACTGGGTGGCATCCCTTGCTTCGGGTTCTCAATTTATGCAGTCCTTGCCTCAGATCTCAGCATCGAGTGGCTATGGCCAGATCCACGGGCGCAAGGTGGATGGCATGTGCCGAGCCAACATGTCCCCAGAGCTGGCCATGCCAATCCTGCAAAAGGCGCATGCTGCAGCTTGTCTGAAGGTGAGTTGCCAATCACGGTTTAGACATTTGTGACATTTCGCACAAGGCAATGGCGATCATTTTCATGGCATGCATCTTCTTTGAAGCTGTCCTGGCCTCAAGTCTTCAAGTTCTAGTGTGAGAGACTGCATGTTTAAAGCTGCAGGCAGGCGCCGTTAAGCAGAAGCTGCCATGAGAAATGGAGTGCTGACACTGCTGAATGTGCAGAATGTGCTGAATGTGCTGAATGTGCTGAAGTTCACGACTCCAGGGCCTTTGGCTCAAGCCTGTCCACTTGTCTGGGGATCTATGTAGCTATATATGTAGCTGCTGTAGCTATAATCAGGCCTTTCATGGAGACCGACCCGACACTCGTTTCAGAGATGCAGGCGTGAAGTGATGAGAGTCTCAGCGCTCAGGACTCGACATGACAAGAGGGTCAGTTTGAAGAGTAAGTCGAGCAAGGCAGGGGATGTAACGATGCTACAAGATGTTGCAAGACCGTGACAGAGACTGGAGGCGAGCAGAAAGAGCGTGCTTTCTCTGAAGCGTAAAGGACCCGATGTTGTCGCTACAGTTGCCAAAGGTATCACAAGTGCGGAAGTTGCCATTTGCCATGTTCCTGGTGCTTGTCATGAAGCTTCAAGCTTGAGAGGATCGCAGATAACACTGCAGGTCAGGAGACGGGCGGATCGGTCACAGCCACTGACGGCACAACGGCTCCCAGAGATCATTAATGAGATTGGCATGGGCTGGTACCACCTATTAACCTTCATCATGCTGGTTTTCACACCTCTTGCTGAAGGCGCCGGGATGATAGCTACTTGCATCATGTCTACTGTGTTGGTCTCCTGCGTTTTGCAATTGTGTGTTTTTGTGTAACTAAGGTCATGACCAACATCACCCACGCCTTGAAGCATGAATTTCATTTGACTGATTGGCAAGCTGGCAGCTTGGACGCTCGCTTCAATCCTGGCAAGTCGGTGTCAGAAGCTTCGAATTCAGAGCGACCGAGGATGCCTTCTCTTTCACGGGGCTGGCCTTGGGGCATTATGTGGCTGGCTTCGTTGCAGACCTGAAGGGAAGACGGCTACCCATGGTTCTGGGGTACTTGGGCATCAGCCTTTGCAGCCTCTTCATGACGATGGCGTCTGGGTACAAGTCGATGGTCTTGCTAAGGGTTTTACACGGCTTTTCCTGCGGTCTGGGCGTGCCGCCTGCCATGTCCATGATCGCGGAGATCATGCCCGCGGATTGGCGGCCCTTCATGTTCATCACCTTCTGGAGCTTCACGGCCGTCGGGGAGACCTACGCCTGCTCCGGCCTGGTCGCCTTCATGCCGAATTTACAAGAATCCTGCTGGAAACAGGAGCGACACCTTCTCGTGAAGTGCAAAGTTGCTTCTGTGCTTACAAGGCTTTCTTTTGTTTCTTTCCCGGCTCGACATCCTTTGGTTCCATAGGCGGTGATGTGGTCCGCCGCGCCTGCCTTCATTATGCTGCGTGTTGGCTGCATGGCAATGTTGCGCACACCGCGCACGGTGCATACCGAGGCTTCTCTCCGTGGCAAGACTGCAAGAGAGTGCTCACTGGCTGGCAGTGAGGGGCCGACTTGTGGAGGCAAGGGTTGTCCTGGAGCAAATGGCGAGGCTGAATGGGACGCTGGGATGAAATTGGCGAATACATCTCACAGTCCCAAGTCCCCGTGCAAAGAGTTCCCTTTGAGGAACCTGGAAACCCTGAAGAAGCTGGGGCCAGCCCCAATGCACGACCTATCCATGCTCTACAACGTGGCGGGCATCACTGCGCGGCAGACTAGCAACTTGGAATATTTTCAGCCGTTCGAGGCCTAGGTGCCTAGATGTGCCTAGGTCTCTTTTTCCTTTGAACTTTGCAAGTGCCTTGAGAATCGGCTTCTGCATTCTTTAGGTGGGCAGACGTCCGATGAACATGGGCACGCATCTCCAGGAGAGATTTTCAGGACGGACTGCATTGATTTTTCTCCAAGCTGACAATTGCCTTGAAGCTTAGATGTACACAGGATCCTGGTTCAACCTGATCTTTTAAAGATGGCTACATGGCAGTTGGCTGAAATCATTGAGAGACGCTGGCCGGGTTTGCATGCACCGAGATTGCCTAGGTTGCCTTGTTCTCTATTTTGGCGAGTGTGGGCAATATCGCGACATTTGGGATGAGCAATATTTGGCCTGCGACCTGGATGCAACAGGCACGTTCACTCGTCGCTTCGACTTCGCGTGCCAGGAGCTTCTCCGCGAGAGCAGCCATTCGGCCCATGCGGCCCATGATTCGGATTCGGAGTCGGCCCATGGTTTGGGCCCTGCAGAGAAGCTGACCTTGATCGTGAGCGTGGGCGTGCCAGTTGGAGTCGTCGCCGCATTGCTCTCACTCTCCAAAGCCGCCTCCCACCGGGCCTTCATTGTTCTGTCTGGCCTTGCTGGCTGCATTGGAGTGTCAGGTGTCATTCTGTGCCAACACATGCCGGCCCTGCTCCTCACCAGCATGCTGGTCACGCACATGTATCGAGCTGAGATTAGCAGCTGGCAAAAGCATCGTTTGCCCTAGCCCCAGCCAGCCACACTCAATCAGGTCTGGGACCTTGGGATACTCCGTGGCAATGATCTTTTGCGAAGAGTCCTTTCCAACAGACATCCGCGCATCTGCAACCGGCATTGTCATTTTCTGGGGCACACTTTGGGCAGTGGCTTCGCCCTTGCTGCTCACTGCTGTGGCTTGGCTACCGCAGATGGGGGCCATGTGCTTTTGTGCTACGAAGTGTTACTGTGGGCCCACAGTGGGCCCTCGGGAGTCCCTTGCTCCGAAACCCTCCCTGAGGCCACCCAAATCGCCCAACCCTCATCAAACACCAGAACCTGACAGCAGCCGGCAGCCTTTACCCCGCAGGCCTGCTAGATCCAAACATGCCAGGACAAGCGAGTCCCCCTTTATGGAAACTTAGTGAATTTTGCCAAGGTCCCTTACAGATTCACCGTTTTCTGGATTTTACGAGCTGATGTCAGATGTCCGGCTTGCCTTTTTTTGCGATGTTCGCGGCCGGTATGCGTCAGCACCGAAATTGGGTTTTGCCTTTGGTTGGTTTAAGTTGGTGAATTCTGGGTTTAGGGCTTACTACCGGTTTCGCCTTCACAAAAGGCATTGTGCCTCACATCTCTCGTTTAGACAATTTGCAGCATTCTCATAAACTGAAGTGAAGTACCCGCTAAGTTCCCGTGTACGAAAACCACTTTGCTTCGTCTACAAAGCCTTAGGTGGGGGAGGAACAGAATCGCGGGTGCTGTGTGGCAACGCCTTACACAGCTTGGCTTAAGTGCAGGAGGGTTTGCCGAAACGTGCCTTTTGCCCCTTTCTCCTAAGCATCGTTCCTGAGAAGACCGCAAGAGCAAGAGACGTGCTGAACAGGCACAGTGGTCACCAAAGAAAATCCATGTGAGCTTGGACGGAGCAGTGAGTTTGATCGTACATGGCGCTGCTCGTCACATGAGCCACGATTAAAGCCCCTACAGATGAGAGCTGATAAGGGACAGGTTTGAACTGTGACTCACATGCCCCTCCCGGACGCTGCTCAGTTCGTGACTTTCCTTCTCCGTTTGTGATGTCAGAGACGAGCTTCTTTGCTTAGGAAGTCTGTCTGAGGCTTGGCGGTGATGCCAGCTCTGTAGATCAGATTGATTCAACTTTCCGCTGAGACGCCATGTTCATGATCCTACCCAGCACCGTTCAATTCTGCGCCAACGCAAATATTTCGCGTAGTGCCAGAAGTTTGAGACCATTTCGTTCACGACACTCTTCATATTGCACATAGGTGTATGTCGGAACCAGGACTCCGGGACCCTGGATCTCAGCCTCCTGGACCGTTGTAGCTCCAAAATATGTTTGCATTTGCGTCAAAGGCGTGCAAGAACAGCGAACGCATAATGCCACGAAGTGCCACACATCTCTAAGCCTGATACACAGGCAGCAAGCGCAGGTGTGGCAAGCGCTAGTGTGACGAGCTTTGCAAGTAACTGACTGCTACATTCGGGACAGTACAGGCACAGCCATCCAATACCACACACAGCAAGGGTGACAAGTTTTGTGGATGCTGGATGCAACGCACACCTTACACAAGTCCCTGGATTGGCAGAGGACATGATTCACGACACTGTACGCAAGTAAAGGGCGAGTCCCAATTTGGGAAGTGAGAGAAGGTGAGATGTTTGCATGAAACATGACTTGCTGAGCATGACAACCGTTGATGGCTCCGATGCTTCGAAGCAAAAGTTGTTTGGGTCATTGCACATTGCTTTTCGTTTGCGTCGCTACATGCTACCGCAGCCACTGACCCTGACTCACCTATTTGCTGCTGCCAGATGACAGTTAACTGGAGACCTTCATCCTTGAGCTTCGCGTCTAACAGCTGACAACTTCTTGCGGCTTCCGCGCTTTTAGATGGAACGGGCTTGTTTGTTTCACTGGGTAACAAGACATGCATATGTAAACGTATGCTGTGTTTCGTGCAGGCGAGCGCGCGCAGCCGCTTTACACTTTTGAAGCAACTATTTCAATGCATGATGGCAAACAGCAATTGTTTTACCGGCTTTTCCAGCCGACGCAACACACACAGCTGATGATACTGCGTGTGCAAGAGCGACAGCAGAAACCAATGAGGCCGAACCCACTTGGCAACCTGTCCATGATCACAATTGGTTGCCTCGGGCCAAAATGCGTCGGCATTCTTTTGATTACGTCTTGAGTGGCAATTGAGATTTGGAGCCTGCGCGCTTTCTTTGCGCATTGAGGTGGGGCAAGGCGGATTTCTGGTGATTGCTGGCGCGGCTTTTGGCGTTGCATCATTGGCAGCTCTGCCTCTGCAAGAAACACGCGGCGGGGAACTCAAAGATTTTGCGGAAGAGGCGGCAGTAGAGGCGGAAGAGGCGGAAGAATACGACTCCGACAGCGACGACGAGAGCGACGCTGAAGTGGAGCATGCCCAGCTTTCGTGGGCATTTGCCAACGGCACCCTTGGCATCCTGGCTACCAATTCTCCAAGCATGTGCATGTGAAAAGCTCTGTATACATGCACAATATATGCATAAATATGCACATTGTGTTTGGCAGTGATTGCTGACTTGCAGCTTCTGAGTTTGCTTCGCGTCAGGTGCTGCTATTGAGCTGTCTTTGCTTTCCGGGCTGCTGGGGGCAGTACCTGGTGTTTCCTTTACTTCCTTCTACTGCTCCATGGGCTTCATCATCGATCGATGCAAAGACCGCAGCTTCTTCGCCAAGGAGATGCTGGTCGGGAACTGCGTTGCCGTGGCTATGCTGGTGATCATGCCGCGACTTGGTCCTTGGATGGATCGGAAGCTGCAGATTCACAAGTCCATGTTTGTCCGCCTGGTTGTGAGCGCCTTCATGCTTGCAGTGGTGGACTTGATGATGGCATTCCCAGAGGACGAGTTCAGCATGCTGACGCTGGGCTGCATCCAAGCCTTCCTGAATGTGATGATGCTGAACACCAGCTTGTCACTGGCTTCCAAGCTCAGGAGTGGGCAGTGAGAGGGGAAGCTTGGGGGAAGCTGAGGGGAAAATGGGAAAGACCGGAAAGACCGGAAAGACCGGAGGAAGAAGTGAGTTGTGCCAGGAGCGGGCGAGGACGGAGCTGGGTGCAGCTGGGCTTTGTGAGCGGGGGGCTGGTGCCGGTGGTCCTGGTGCCCTTTACGAATTTCGGGCCGCGGAGTGGCCTCGGCCAACGCCTCGCCTTCTACGCGGCCCCCGCTGCCTTCTGCGGCCTTGCAGGGCTTCTCTTCTGGGCCTACCACCGCCAAGTGGAGCTCATGGGCAACGCGAACACGGGCAGGGGCAACATGGCCGAGCTGGCGCGGGCCTACAGAGACTTCGGCAACGAGGGACAAGTGGCACAAGCACAAGTGGCGCAAGCGCGAAACCCTTCTTGGAGTCAACAAGCTCGCGTCGCCTTCCCTGTGGTTTTGGGCACAGGCCTCAGTCACCTCAGTCGCCTCAGTCGCCTCAGTCGCCTCAGTCGCCTCAGTCCTCGAAACGCCTTTGGCAAAGCCATAGCTCTCGCTCGCTTGCATGTGTGGGGGCACGCGATGCAGCCATGCTGAGCCCACATTGCTAACAGATTTGTCGCTGTCTATTTGTGCGTAAACGATCTGATCCTTCGCTTGTTGCGTTTCACTCCTCATGCCTTGCGCTAACGTCGCGCCGTGAGGGTTTCAGGAGCATTCTCTCACGTGCTTCGATACTTGTTCCATCTCTTGCTGCGAACCCGATTGCATTGATCCTCACTGTTTGTGCTCTTGTCATCTTGGGCTGCTTGCTTGCGCTTGCTCTAGGGTAGGGTGTTTTTAGCTCCTGTTTCGGTGTTTCTGTGGTCAGGAGTGCTTTTTGGGATGGTTTGGGTGCCGGGTGTTTTGGGGGTCTGTTTTTATCTTCCCGGTGTTTTTGGTGTCTAGTCAGTGTTTTGGGCGCCTGCTGCCAGGGAGGCGGGCGGGTGTTTTTGGCGCCCGATGGGTGTGGTTGGTGTTTTGGGCACCGGGGCGTTTTTGGCGCCTGGCGGGGTGTTTTGGGTGCCAGCTCCAGAGCCTTTGCGGTTCGATTCCCGCCCTGTCGGGGGTCGTGTCCCACTTCAGCGCTGGGCCTTTTGGCTCTGCGGTTTGATTGCCGCCGTCCGCCACAGTCTCAATGATGTGCTGGGGTGCTGGGAGCGGGGGGTTGCTCCGCCGGCAACAAACAACGTCGTGCGCGCCGCAATGGCACACCGCGTGCAGCAAGGCAGCTTTGACCCCTGCAAATAGTAGGCGGGGTAGGGCGCAAGGGGCCGGGCCAAAAAAGGGAGGGGTTAGCAAGAGTAGGGCTCCAAACCACCTCATCATTTGCTACCCTCACCACACCAGCATATAATCAATCCACTTCCCAAAATGTTCAAAATCATTCATAAAATGTTTTAAGTTATTCATGTTACAGAATAGCCTAAACTATTTCAATCAACCTCGCAACAGTCCTCGATATGTTTTTCACTGGAAACATGGTCGCACCAATAATAATAAATTGCATTATTCTTGCATTTTAAACATCTAAACCACAGCACACCATTTTCAATTTCTTTTCTATCCGCTCGTTCGAGTTTTTCACCATTCAAACTTTTCTGTAAACATATTGATGATTCCTAGATTTCTCATGTTGAGACTTCTTCTCTCTTTCAATGTCACAATCGCACAATTCACAGTGATACACTTTTTGCCTGTTTGCTTGTATTGTTGCTTTCCCTGCTTCGCTCTCTCTGTGTGTCCTATTCTTTTCCTTTATTTGGTCAGGGTTATTTTCTCTGTATCTGCGCTGTGTCTCTGCCACTTTGTCAGCATTGTTTAATCGCCATCGCTTTTTGGTTTCTGCCTGTTTGATACTATTTTGCTCACGACAGTAATTACAAATCCGCACCTTTTTACTGAACAAATCAGATGAATAAGTATTACCACATTGCTTACAAGTTTTCATTTCTTCACTCATCTCCTACCATAGTAAAAGACCAGTTCTTTAAATAGTTTCACGACATAATCCATAACATGAGATATGTTGAAGCCCCCTTATCCAAAAAAACACCCAACAACAAAGAAGATAACCAAAAAACAAACAAGGATCATAACAAAGAACATTCCAAAGCAACACCAACGTCAACATTCCAAAGAACTTTTCAAAGAGATGTAACATAAATCTTACAATTTAAAAATGTAAGATATATGTAAGAAATCTGATTAACTAATATCTTCCAAATTGAACTACAATAACTATATGATTAGAATATGTAATTAAGCTTTTCGCACAACAATAGTCTTCATAACCTTTTATTAATCCGTTTTTGTAAATTTCAATTAAATCGGTTAATACATTTCTCATATAAAAGTTTTGATTTCTATAAGTCCAATAACTGTCTAGATGTGGAAAGAATGTGCCGCGATGTTTCCAAAATTTTAAATCATCAATTTTGAGGCAATTTCTAAAACTTGCTAACACTATCATCATCGCTCTTACAAAATGATTTCATTGCTTGGTAATACATTTTTCTATTCTTAAATCTTTCTGTAACCTCTTCTTGACCAAATATTCTGTCAATGCTTTTTCTATATTGTGTCATGTCATAATGTTGTTCTGTTAGATGTGTAATATCATTGTTAAGCATTTGTTTAAGACACATTAATTGAAATTCTGCTTTGTCCAATCCTTCATCGGGCATATCTTGATTTTTCATAAACTCTTGCTCTTTTAATAATAAGAATCTACATTTATCACATCTAATATTACTATATTCACCAATAGTTTTACACATATTAACAGGCAATATATTTGCCAATGCTACAACATTCTTATTGTTAATCTTTCTACATTTACAGTTGTCATAAGTAAACAGTGTCATTATCTCACTATATATATAGGCAATATGTCTTTAAACCCCTTTTATTTAGTCCAAAAACTATATTTTTAACATTTCATGTCTCAATAATAATTTTGGATAAGCACTAACAGAACAATATTTTTGACCAAAATTAGTTTTTATCTTCTCCACTGTATGGACTGACTTTAACCAGTGGCTCGTGCGTTCTTTTTCACTGATTCCTTTTTTCCTCATAATCTTAACCTTATCTCCAAAATCTAAATCAGGATAAACACGTGATTTTCTGGCATTCCACTTCAAACTCATTCTTTTTCTTCCTTGCTTCTAATGGTGTCCTTTTCGTAGTAGAACTTACCAATCTATTATTATAAGTTAATAAGATTTCAAATATGTAGTCAGTCCATTGAATATTATTTTTATCTTTCTTCTCATCCGCATCGACTCTTTTGAAAAGCATATCATTAAATGTCCTTATGAATCTTTCTCCAAAAGCAGGATGACCCCGTGTAGTGTGTAATTCAATTTTCTCCTCTTTCAAATAATCTGCAACGGTAGAACTAAACAAACTGCCTTCTTCGTCGCTGTATATTAATTTAGGCTTACCATCCATCTTTTTTAATCCTTCCATTAATTCCAGCTAATACATCAGCAGGTTGTTTACTCGCAATAGGTATGACAGTAGCATATTTACTGAATATATCAATTAATATCAATCCAACTCTGAACTTTTGATTTTCCAAACCATTCATTGAAATGAAAAACAAATCTAACTGGAATTCCCAGTAAGCATGCGGAACAAAACTGTTTTGACCTCGTTGTTTTCTAATCTCTTCGATGTTATTTTTAAAGAATTCATTTACATCACTCATAGTAATTGTTTGGTCCTTCCTTCTTGCATCTTGTAAAGTTATAGCTTTACTTCCATATCCGCTTTTATCATAATAAGTATCACTACTTTTTTTTGTTTATCCATATAATGAATTAATATTTTAAAAATTAAAAATATTAAAAATCTTAATGGGCGGATACGATACAATAGTAGCACTAACGGACGCAATTATCTATTTCATGGCTGGTATCATTACAAAGCCTTTGTGCGGTAAAGTTGCTACATAATTTGCTATGCTTGATTTCAAAATTAAATGGAGTATTACACTTCTGGCATCTGTTCTTGAAATTATCCGAGAACCATTCGGCAGTTATGTACTCCTTTTCATTGATTTCTCTCTTTGCTTTCCGTTCCTGTATTTTTTTAAAATTTTCAAATGTATTATTAAAGTATATCATTATCATATGTTTATTCAATTGTTTTTCAAAGTCATCATTTTTGAAAAATCTGACTTTTTCTAAACTCAACACAACGTGTAATAGAAGTCCAAAGCCACTCGCGATTTACAGATGGTAAATTCCATTCATGAATTGTCATGCTTTCTTTCACACTTGCTCCTGTGATGAGTGGCATGTTGCACAGTATGAATATATGAAATTAGCATCAACAACAGGTTCGAATAACATAACTTATCTTCTTCATTTTCTATGCAATGTTATTTGCTTTCCTAATTCGTCATTTTCAATCTTTGTTATTCTATATCTCAAATTTTGTGAAACAAACCAGAGGCCCCCACCCCTGAATCGTCATGTGCAGTGCTTTTCGGATAGCCATTCCGGCTTGGGAGTGGGCAAGGAGCCCCGCGATGCGCTGAGCAAAAGTTGCTCAGTGGTAGCGGGGCCTCAGTTCTGAAACCGGGGTTAGGTCGCCATGGCCGGTGCCTCTGAGAAGACGGAGGAGACGCAGAAGGTCTCCTATGGCAAGGACGCACCTCCACCGATGTGGGACGGCAGTTCGCCCCACGTGGAGTTCCCCCAAAAAATAGTAAAAGGAGAATTCAAAGAATTATTCTTTCTACTATTTTTTCTCCAACAGCAACACAACAAACAGAAAACAAAATCCAGAACAACAAGCAAACAAAATAAATAATCACAACCAGCAACAAAAATATTTAATCACAGCATGCAACATTAAATAATTCAAACAAGCATACCAACAAAACAGCAACACTCTAAATCATCAAAGAACCCAAACTCAAAAACACACATCAACAAAAATCAAAGCAACATACCAACAAAAATATCACAAGAGTATCAAACAAAACAAAAACAAACAGCCAAAGCACGAAAAAATCAAAAGAGCATACCAAGTCTAAACAACGCACTTTGAAAGAGATAAGCAAATTAGGAAAATATAATAATTCAATCTTTACAAACGATAAATATATTACAATTATAACATATAATATTTTACATGTGATAATTATATTTCAATTAAGAATTAAGGATTTAAGATAACAGTCAGGCAATATGTCTTCAAATATGTAATCTACATATTTATCAATATCATTAATGTCTATATATTTGATATTGTCTTTTCCTATTATTGAATAAATATATTCCCAAAAGAATAAATACAGCAATAGACATACTTTATATTTAGTGTTGTAGTAATACCATACATGATATTTAGTT